AATATTAATAAAATTTTTTTAAAAATTCAATTGTTTTTAAAATTTGTAATAAAACTCTTGGACACAATTCAATTATTTAAAAAAATTGAAAATTCAATTATTTTTAATAAATAAAATTCTTCACAGAAATTGAATTATTTTCAAAATTTTTGATAAAATTCTTTGAAGAATTCAATTATGTCAAGGCAAATTTTTAATTATTTTATACAATATAATACAATTATTCATTAATTCATTTTTTTGAAATTTAATGTGATCCTTTGAAGTCTGTTAAAAATAGTCAATTTCACATTTTTGGACAGTTTTTTAGAAAAACATGAACATTTTTGGCGTTTCCGAAAATCCCAACTATTTTTTCCTTATTCTGTATCATTGAATAAACAATTCATTAATGCATCGTTTAGAAATTTAGCGTGGTCTTCATGACGAATTTTAGCTTTGAATTTTTTCTATAAAATAGCCAATTTTACAGTTTTGGATAGTTTTTTGGAAAAAGATGAGAATTATTTGCTTTGCCGAAAATTCATACTATTTTTTTCTATTCCGTATCACTAAATAAATAATTTATAAATTCTTTTTTTTTAAATTTAGCGTGGTCTTCATAACGTTTTTTTTTTGCTTGAAGTTCGCCTAAAGTAGCCAATATTAATATATTATTAAAATTATTATTATTTTTATTATTATTTATCAACAATAAGATTCAAAAATCTAGGGAGTAGAGAAGGTATTGTTATCTTATTACTTTGTCAAATATTGAGAACGAAATGAAAATTAAAAAAATAATATTTAAAAAAAGTATTGCTAATAATTATGAAATTTCGTAATAAATTTACATTCAGTTATTACATAGAGGAGTTACATATGACATACTTTAAGTAGACGAGGAAAAATATAAATTATGTTAATTTGAATTGAAAATTTTCACAACGGCAACACGTGTTGTATATTGTTAATATCGATCCAAAGGTGTATTGGTATGGTAATATAAACGGCATTCACTAACAATGGACCATCTTACCAACAGATGGCTATTAAAAGTTCATTTTTATGTAGTTTGCATGACAGGTACGAACTTACAAGGAGTTTAGTTTGTTTAAAAGAAAAAAAACGAATGTCTATTTATTTTCTTATTTATTCCAAAATATAATGAGAGAAATTATTCATAAAAATACCAAAATTATCCTATTTGATTTTAATTCAACAAAGTGCCAGTGAGTTATGTGTAATAGAATTTTTCAAATATTTTTCACACAAATTAATGGAAGTAAAAAAAAAATACCAATTTGGAAAGTTATTTGAACAATTTTTTTTTTATTTTGAGCTATTTGTTCTGTGCATATATAGGAAATTTATATAGAATAAATTTTGAAAGTGAATCGATTAAAGTTGTTTGTCTGGAAAACAATATTAATATAGTAAATATATATAGAGAGAGAGGATGCTGTTTTATATGTAGGGAGCTTCAATTTTCTATACAAAGTTGATTATAGATTATATTTTCTCTACATACACTCAAAAGTGAAATATTGATATATTACAACGTAAAGTTTTATAATATAAATCGTGTAATTAAAATTTTAATCGTAATTTAATTGCCGTATGCGTCTTGACATATATATATCAATTTAAATTACATGCATCAATTTCTCAATATAACTGATTTCTCCTGTTGGAAATACAATATTGAGAGCAACTTGCTACTCTCTTGTGCTTTACAACTCGCAGTTCACAAACTTCGACAACTACTAGTGACTCTTTACTCTGACATATGTAAGTGCCCTGTAAAGTTTCCTATAAGCTTTAGCGCTGTTTCTAAGAAATTGCTACTTTCCTAATCAGAAAATCCGTCTCCGTGAAAATTCATTTCGTTTCATTTTATTTTATCTATGCGCTTTTCTCTTAAAATTTAATTTTGATATTAGAAGAAAAATTATTGTCACTTTATTTTTGATATTTTGAAAAATAATTACAAAATTAATTTTCACAGGCAGTTAGATCATTAGTTACATAACTGATTTCGTATTAATTGATGTATTAATTTAATTAAATAATACAGTAGTTAATTAATTAAGAAAATTTTATGAGGAGCTTTATTTATAAATTTATAAATATAGTAATATTTATTACTATCTTTATTTATTTAAATCTATTTGGATTTAAATATTTATCACGCATTTTTCGAAAAATCACTTGAAATTATTATTATTATTATATATTATCTCTAAATTTGAATTAGTTAAGAAACAATAAATGATAGTAAAAAGTCGTCACTGATTCAAATATAGTTCAATATAATTCAAGTAGAGAAATTTACTATTTTCGTAGTTATTTATTTACTAATAATTAGTCATTTTTTTACTAATTTCTGGAGCAAAATGTCAGCCAGAATTTTACTAATAATTAGTTAATAATAATTAATAATTAATAATAATTAATAATAATTAGTTATCTTTAACTAATTCAGATTTAGAGCAGGGTTGCCACAGGTCAGGGGAATCAGGGAATTCAGGGACAAGTCAGGGAAAGTAGAATTGGTCAGGAAAGTCAGGGATTTTTATTAAAATTACTGGAAAAATTTAATTTTTGAAATTTATAAAAAAATTCGGAATTTTTAGTGTCTTTTTTGTTTGCCTCATAAATTATCAAACTACCACGAATTCTTATACAAAACCTTCCAAATTTTTTTATATTTCTGACCAGAATGAATTTTGTAATATTATTTAATTATTTCAAAAGTTTTAATACAATTATTATCACAAGAATTAAATTATTTTCAAAAGTAATAAAATTCTTTGAAGAAATTTAATTATTTTAAAACATTTCAACGAATATTTCGTCAAGAATTCACTTATTGTTATAAATAGCAAAATTTTTCGCCAAAAATTTAATTATTTTCAAAAAATTTAACTAAAATTCTTTGCAAAATATCAATTATTTTTAAAAGTTTTTCGCATTTCAATAATTTTCAATATTCACTATTTTCATAAAATTTATCAAACAAATTTTTTTATAAAATTTTAGGAAAACATTCAATTATTTTCATAAAAGATAAAATTTCATTTAGAAATTAAATTATTTTTACGACAGAATTTTTAATATTTTTAATACAGTTTTAAATAAATTCATCAAAAAAAGCAGTTATTCTTAAAAATTCTATTAAAACTTGACGAAAGAATTCAAATTTAAGAAACATTTAATTATTCAATAAAATAATAAAATTCGTTGCAATGATTCAATTATTTTCAAAATTTTTTTAAGTAATTCTGCAAAAGAATTTAATTATCTTGTTAAACAACAAAATTCTCCCCATAAAATCAATTATTTAGAAGAATTTTAATAAAATTCTTTTTCAAAATTCAATTATTTTGATAAGTAACAAAATTCATCACAACAATTTAATTCTTTTGAAGGGTAATAAAATACTTTGCATAAATTAAATTATATTTTCAAAATTTTTGAAAAATTCTCGCCAAGAATTAAGTCATTTTTATAAATAGTTAGCAAAATTCTTCTCAAGAATTAAATTATTGTCAAAAATTTTAATAAACTTTTTTGTTATAATTTCAATTATTTAAACAAAATTTAATAAAATTCACCCTATAAAATCAATTATTTTAAGGAATTTTAATAAAATTCTTTTCCAAAATTCAATTATTTTTCATAAATATCAAAATTTATCACAAGAATTCAATTTTTTTGAAAAGTAATAAAATACTTTGTAGAAATTAAATTATTTTCAAAATTTTTTTTAATATTCTCGTCAATAATTTTAAATTATTTTTATAAATAGGTAGCGAAATTCTTCTCAGGAATTCAATTATGTTGAAAACTTTAAAAAGTTTTCAATTATTTTCAAAAATAATAATTGAAGTTAATTATTCAAATGATGAAAATAATTTCGAAGAAGTTAGGAGTAACAATATTCTTATATAAAATAATAATTTTATCCATGAGTTATTATCGTTAATTATTATAGGTTATTAAATTTCAAAAGATTTGAATTTGAAATTGTTTTTTAATTAATTTAATTAAATTAATTAAATTAATTTAATTTTTTTTTAATTTCAATGGAAAAATAATAATGATTAAATAATTATGATAAATAAAACAATTGTTTTCCAATAATTTTACAATTAAATAAATTGGCAAATATTCGAACATTTTTTTGAGCTTCTAATCATTTTTAGAGATCCTGTAAAGAGATTTTTATTATTATTTATTTTTAAACTTTCTATCACATTAAAATATATTACGTACTAAAAAAAAATTTATCTGATTCAAATAAACGATTACCTTTCTATTATGAAATAAATATTTATTTAAGTCAATTAAATTGTATTTGTTTCAAATACTATGAAATATTTATTTATTTGAAATTACAAATAAATGGGATTTCAATAAAAATTATTTGTTTCAAGTTTTATTTTATATTTAGTTTCAAAATTTTTTGTTTAAAACGAATAAATTTTTTTTAAAGTTTTTCGATTAGTTGTTTAATATTTATTTTCTAAGTTATTTATATTTATATAAAATTTAATTACACCGTTTTTATAAAAGTAATATACGATTTAACGAGAGAGTGTTAATTATTTTTATACATTGAAATACACGTAACATTGACTGACGATCAACTGACGCTTTAGTTTCAATCTTGAGAAAAATTATTTCCATGTCATTATATTAATTAGATGCGAGTGTTTAATAGTGAAAAAAAATTTTAATAAAAAAAAGAAGAAATCTGAAATTCTCTCACGACAACTTTTATGATATTGTTGTATACAGTCATGTTTCTAATATTATAAAAGTAAATTAATTTTGAGAATAATTAATTTGTCTAGTTCACTATTCTAAATTTTTGTAAAAATAATTAATTAGGTAATTGAAAATTAGTTTGTGACTCTATTTTTTTTGGCAATTATTCTTTTACTAAAAAATAATAATAATTAATAACATAATTTTTTTTTTTTTTATTAAAATTTACTTATTGTTTTTTTTTGCAGATGCCTGCAAATAATACAGCTGCATCGACTTTTCACGAGGATGATCTGCAACGAATTATTGCTGAACGAAAACAAGCCTGCTCAGAATTCATCGAAAAAGAAGAAATCACAATACAAGGTTAGAAATTTAATTTTTTTTTTCATCGAAAACGAAGAAATCGCAGTACAAGGTTAAAAATTTAATTTTTTTAGTTATTTATTCTAACAACCGATATGTAGAATATTGAGGTTTTGAAAGATATAAAAAATAACCCCCCCCCCTCCCCCCACCCTCCCTTCTGTGTAGTGTCCAATAAACTTTGTATACATTTTATTTGTTAAATTTAATAAATTGTTATTAATAGATTATAGATTAATATATTAATATATTAATATATTAATTATTAATAAATTATTAATAATTAATTATATTAATAATTGTATTAACTATATTCATTATTATTAATGTGTTATATTTTTATATACATTTTTCAAAAAGATTACTCAAAATTAAAAAAAAGAGAAACAATTCTAAATAAACATTTTTATTAATTAATAATTTTATAAATTTTATTATCTCTGAAATTGGTGTGTTTCAATAATATGGCTCTTAATTTGAATTATTGAAATTTCTCTCTCTATATAATATATATTTGAATCAAATTTTAAATAATTTATAACAATTTTAATGGAAAGGTTTTATTTACAAACATAAGAGATATAATAATAAATATAAAATAAATATAAATTTTACAATATTTCTCTTTAATTTGCATTTACGTTTTTTTAAAAAATATTTTTGCAAATAAAATTGTTGATTTATTGTGGAAGTAACGTTTCATTTTAATGATAGAAACGTTTTACTTTATTATAATAATGGTTTATTCAAAATTTAATAATGTAAAATGTATAACAAATTTTGTTTCTTTTTATAAATTATATGACGAAAGAAATTTTGCCCCTCATATTAGATACCTTGTCCGACACTCAGTAACAAACTTGCATACTTCATTTTCCATAAATGAACATTCATCTTCTCTCGTGCATATCAGACGTATTTCAATGATTTATATTGCACGCTCTTCGGAGAATTAATAGAAGAGTAGAATCAGCTTACACACACATATATACATATATATATATTAAAGGAAAAATATATTTACAATAAATAATGGTGACTCGAGTATTTTAATAATTCTCTTCTCTTGCACTTGATAAAAAGTAAATTTTCCTTAAATAATTATTTAGTAAAGTTAAATTATGATATTTTCTAACATTGCGTACAATATAATAGAGATAATATTTTTCTAAAAGAATTTTAAAATATTTTAGCTCCGAGAATTTTGTTATAAATTTTTCTGCGTAAAATAGTTGATCAGAAAAATTTATAACAAAATTATAAATTTTTCTGCGTAAAACAGTTGATCAGAAAAATTTATAACAAAATTATAAATTTATAAACAAGAAAAAATTGCTTTCTGGGTAAAAAATTTTTCTTTTCTTAATTATTGATTTCAATAATATTGTAAATTTCACCGACGTACATAAATTTTATTATAATGTAATAGTAAATAATTATTATAATTTATAAAGAGTTCGAACTAGGTCCGTAAATCCCGTAAAAGTCTGTAACTTTGCTTGAAGTCCGTAAAAGTCCGTTTTTTTTAAAAAAAAGGTCCGTAATGTCCGTAATTTGATTGAGAAGAGACGAAAAGTTGATAAATAGTACGATATAAATTTGGAGAATTTTAGAGAAATTACAAATGATTGCAGAAATTGAATTATTTTCAAAAGTAATAAAATTCCTCGCAGAAATTCAATTATGTTCAAAATTTTTTTTCGATTTCCATCAAAATTTCAATTATTTTTAGAAATAATTAAATTCTTCTTCGAAAATCAATTATTTTCAAAAATTTTCTTCAATTCAATGATTTTCAATATCTACTATTTTCATAAAATTTTCCAAAAGAATTCAATTAGGTATTTAAAAAAAAATTTAATAAAATTCTACAAAAATTTTTAATTATTTTCAAAAAATAATAAAAATATCATAGAAATTTCATTATTTACTAATTTTTTTTTATAAATTTCTTCGCAATTATTCAATTATTTTCATAAATAATAAAACTTTTACGGGGATTCAATTATTTTTGTAAATAATAAAATTCTTTCTAGGAATTCAATTATTTTTATAAATAATAAAACTCATTGCATAATTTCAATTATTTTTAATACAATTTTTATCAAATTCCTCGAAACAATTCTTCAAAATTTTATTAAAATTCGTCAAAAGAATTCAAGTATTTAAAAATTTATATAGATAAAATTCTTTATTACAATTCAATTTTAAGAAAAGCAATTATTTAAAAAATTGTAAGTTTTGTATTTAAGTACTTGAATTCTAGTAGAATTTTCTAATAAAAATTGATTTAAAAATGGATTTTAGTCAAAATTTTAAATTATAATTGAATATTTAAAGCATTAGAGTGTAAATTTTTAAAAATAATTGAATTTTGAAAACGTTTCAGATTAAAATCTTTAAAAATTTGAATTTCTCATATTTTTAACTATCCCACATAGCACCATAGTATGAGGTAAGGTTATGTTGAGTACTAATCGTAAGGCACATAAGGTTACACAATATTGCTGCGGTAGACCTGAGGTGAACTAAAAACTTCCGCCATGGAGGTAAGGTTACATGTTAGGGTGTGGTGAGTATATATGATAAGGCCATGGTAACCTTACACGTTAAGGTTAAGGTAACCTTACACGTTAAGGTTGATGTAACCTTACACGTTAAGGTTGAGGTAACGTTACATGTTAAGGTTGAGGTAAGGTTACATGTCAAGGTTGAGGTAAGGTAATTAATAAGTTGTAAGGTTAAGGTAAGGTTGTGATAAGTTTACCAGTTATGGAAAATATTGAAAAAATAATTAATAATATAATAAATAAATATTAAATTAGAAAGTTAAGTTTGTTGCTCTTCTCTATTTTGGAAACCTGACATAAAGCAGAAAATTTTGAAAACAAATTTGGGGGGACTGGGATTCGAACCCGGGATCGACGCGCATAAACCTATCATTCTAACTAACTGAGCTAAGTAGAGAACTGGCAGAAGGAAAATTAATGTTGCCTTTAAGGTGAACCAAGAAGATGATTAACTCCTTAAAGGCAATATTAATTTTCCTTCTACCAGTTCTCTACTTAGCTCAGTTAGTTAGAATGATAGGTTTATGCGCGTCGATCCCGGGTTCAAATCCCAGTCCCCCCAAATTTGTTTTTAAAATTTTCTGCTTCATGTCAGGTTTCCAAAATAGAGAAGAGCAACAAACTAACTTTTTAATTGAATATTTATTTATTAATTATTTTTTCAATATTTTCCATAACTGGTAAATTTATCACAACCTTACCTCAACCTTACAACTTAATAATTACCTTACCTCAACCTTGACATGTAACCTTACCTCAACCTTAACATGTAACGTTACCTCAACCTTAACGTGTAAGGTTACATCAACCTTAACGTGTAAGGTTACCTTAACCTTAACGTGTAAGGTTACCATGGCCTTATCATATATACTCACCACACCCTAACATGTAACCTTACCTCCATGGCGGAAGTTTTTAGTTCACCTCAGGTCTACCGCAGCAATATTGTGTAACCTTATGTGCCTTACGATTAGTACTCAACATAACCTTACCTCATACTATTGTGCTATGTGGGATAATAATTCTGTGGAATTAATTTTTTTGAGAAACTTCAATTGCGGATTTTTTAAAAAATTATTTACAGTTTTTATTTTCTAATATATATAGTTAATTGAAGAATTTACGAATAATTGAAATTTTGTAAAATTGAATTGTAAACAAATGAATTTGAAAATTCTTAAAGAACTTTTTCAAAAATGATTTAAAATAATGGATTTATAGAAGATTTTTAGTTAAAAACACAAAAAAAAAATTCAATTTTGTAAAAGTTAAAAAATTATTGCCAAAATTCAATTGTTTTCAAGAGTAAGAATATTCTTCTCAAAAATTAAATATTGTTCAAAAGTAATAAAATTGTTTTTAGGGATTCAATTATTTTCATAAATAATAAAACTCATTGCAGAATTTCAATTAGTCTTAAAGCAATTTTTTTGGGATTTTTCAAAAAATGTCATTATTATTCTTAAAAATGTTATTAAAATTCGTTGATAGAATTATTCAATTATTTGAAAATTTGTTGATAACGATTCTTTATGGGAATTGAATTTTAAGAAACATTCAATTATTCAATAAATTATTTATTTTTGTATTTAAATAATTGAATTCTATAGTAGAATTTTCTAATAAAAATTAATTTTCATATAATTATAAAAATTTCACAGGAATTCAATTATTTACAAATTTTTTTATAAATTTCTTCGCAATCATCCAAATATTTTCATAAATAAAAAAATGTTTACAGGGATAAAATCCAAAATTCTTTTTAGGAATTCAATTATTTTCATAAATAATAAAACTCCTCGTAGAATTTCAATTATTTTTAATAACATTTTAATCGAATTCCTCAAAAAATGTATTTATTCTTAAAATTTTATTAAAAAACGTCGAAAGAATTCAATTATTTAAAAATTTGTTGATTTTATGAGAATCTTTATGAGAATTCAATTTTATGAAACATTGAAATATTCAATACATTAATTTTTTTAGATTTAAAAAATTGAATTATAGTAGAATTATTTTCCAAAAAAATTGATTTAAAAATGTATTTCTGTTAGAAACACATAAATTTGAAAATTTTTAATCAAATTTTTGAAAAATTATTAAAAAATAATGGATATTTATAGAAGATGTTTAGTTAAAAACACGAAAAAAAATTAAATTTTGTAAAAGTTACAAATTATTGCAAAAATTCAATTATTTTCAAGAGTAATAATATTCTTCGCAAAAATTAAATATTGTTTAAAAAAGTAATGAAATTCTTCTTAGGAATTCAATTATTTTCATAAATATAATAAAACTCCTTGCAGAATTTCAATTATTTTTAATACAATTTTAATCGAATTTTACGGAAAATATAATTATTCTTAAAAATTTTATTAAGAATCGTCGAAAGAATTCAATTATTTAAAAATTTGTTTATAAAACTCTTTATGAGAATAGAATTTCATGAAACATTGAATTATTGAATAAATTATTTATATTTGTATTTAAATAATTGAATTCTACACTGAAAAAAATTTAATTGATTCACATAACCGATTAATTGACTATTATCAATTAAATATTTAATTGAATCAAATAATATTTATTGAAGTCAATTAAATGGTATTTGAACCAACAATTTCAGTACTTGAAGCAAATACCATTTAATTGACTCCAATAAATATTATTTGATTCAATTAAATATTTAATTGATAATAGTCAATTAATCGATTATTTGAATCAATTAAATTTTTTTTCAGTGTAGTAGAATTTTCTAATAAAAATTGATTAATTTCAGTTAAAATTTTGGATAATAATTGAATATTAAAAGTAATATAGAGTGAATTTTTAAAAATAATTGAACTTTGAAATTAATTTTTTTGAAGAAGTTTAATTGAATTGAACTTTCAATGGTTCGAACCCTGTTTATATTATAAAATTATAAAAATTATATTATTATAATTATTTCGTATTATAATTATTGTAATAATAATTATACCTTAAAATAAAAAATAATAAATTAATGAAGGACATGTTTAATTCCGTCAATTAAAAATATTTAAAAGACCTTTTTTCTGTTATAGTACATATATGAAAAATATAAAACGAAACTTTTACGCCATGAGTGTTATGCAACTAAATTATCTTTTTCAAAAAAGTTTAAAATTTAAAATATTTTTGTCGCATTTATGATAAAGTGTACATAGGTGTATACAAAATTTTGTTTACTCAATTTACTTTTCTATTGAGTAAATGTGTGCAATGTATTGCAAAAGTGAAATTTCGAGAATAATATATTCAGAGTTCGAAATGTAAAATTTATAATACCTACGTCATTCGTTTCTTCTATATGGCACATAGTAAAAGAAGGATATTATCTTTCAATATAAAAATATCATATATATTTTATAAACAACCTCAGGCTCTATGCTTGTGGTCCTTTTGATGCAAAATTTCCAATATATGAGGATTTTAAAATCTATACGTCTCTCTTCATGTGTGTATATAAATTTTTCTAAAAAGACTACTCGACTTTTAAAAAAAAATTTTAAAAAGTTCTATATTAATATTTTTTTTAAACTCGATTTTTCTCTAAAACTAATGCTTCAATCTTTTTTAATGACATTTTTTCTAGAATATAACGATTAAAGTCGTCGATTTTTATTATTGTGAACTATTTTTTGTTTACTTAATTGTTGACGAAGAAAGACAGTAAACATTTTTTCTTATATAAAAATTTGGTTAGAAAATTAATTTCTTTTTAATTTAAAATTTTTAAAATCAAAAGTCTTTGATTTTCAACGTTGTGAACTTGAACGTTTTCTTAATTGAGAGGATATTAAAGAGTTCCATTTATTTATTTACATGTAAAAATATCAAATTTTTGTTTATTTAATTAATGAGACAATTTTGGTTTTCTTTTACATTCTCAGCACAAAAGATGATATTATTTTTTTAGCATCTATATAATTGAAGAAAACGGTTTAATTTAATTTTTTAATTCAATCTTCTTTAAATTATTGAAAAAAAATTTTCTTTCAAAAATTAATTAAATTATTTTCCGTTTCCGAATCCAAATGTTTTAGAAATGATTTTAATTTTTAACTCCCGTAAAGAAATGTATGTATTTCCTGAATATTGCGGGAGAATATTTCGTTAAATATTAAAATTTCAAAAACATAATTAGAAAAAATACTTTGAAGAACATAAATTAGGTGACGAAGTTAAATTATTATGATGTGTACCTTAAACTAAATTTTTGTTTAATTTCTTGTCTAATTAAATTCTATTTGGTTTTTTTCGAACGAAGCTTCTCACTATTTGATTTGTTGTTGGAGGAAAAAATACTCTTGATTAAAATCCTGATTAATAATAAAATAACGAATAGAGCGAGCAAAAGGACGAGTAAAATAAAACCGTACACATCTAATAATTCAACTTGCCACCAAGATAAATTGACTGCTGGCGAGCGTAACACTGGTCCATGACGTAAGACATATTCGACCCAAAATGCAACTGTCTCTTGTGGTGTCATCGGTCGATCCTTGTAGAGTTTCGATAATTTCTCAATGTTATTCCTAAAACAATTATTTTATTAATTATTATCATTCTGTCGTTAATTTATAATTATTGGAACAAATAACTATATTTATATTAAAAAAAAATTTATTTCAATCAAATAAATGTCTATCTATCAATATTATAATTTAATTTTCCCAAAAAAAATTTATTTCATTCAAAAAAACGTCCATCTATCAATAATAATTTAATTGGCCCAAAAAAATATTTATTTGTAACAAATAATTTTTATTCAAGACGAATAAATTGTGTTTGCTTCGAATACTGAAATTGTTGGACCAAATATAATTTATTTTGATTTAAATAAAAATTGTTTGAGTCAAAAAATATTTGTTTGAATTACTTAAAAATTATTTAAGTCTAGAAGATATTTGTTTGCAAATAAATAATTAATTGAGTCAAGAAAATATTTTTTTGAATGAAATAAAAACTATTTGAGTCAAGATAATATTAATTGAGTTAATTGATAATACTAATTGAAATTAATTAAAATTAATTAAAATAATTAATACTATTAATATTATTTAGAATAAAATTAATTAATTAATAATCTTAATTCTTTGGGAATATGTTTTTCTTTGAAGAATATTATTAAAGACATTTGTTTGAATGAGAGCTAAATAATATATATATATATAGTTCGACCTAATTTTCGTTTGATGCCAAACAAAGAATCATTGGATTCTCTTTTTCTTATTTTACCTCATCTCGGGATCCTTTAAAATTTTATTCAAAGCGCCATCAAGTTGCTCTTCCGTAAAACTGTCATAATTCAATGTGATGGCAATTTTTCTGTTCTCATAATTTCTCATATTAAAGTTTTGATCTCCAAACAATGGAAAGCCGATTATGGGAACTGCATAGTAAATCGATTCAATTGTACTTAAGAGTCCTCCGTGACTCACAAATCCCTTGACGTTCTTGTGCTCTGCAAAGATTTTTTTTAATTATTATATTAAATATATTAAATGAAAATTAGTGGTCAAAATTCATTTCTATAGAATAAAGACTATGGAAATTCTTGATGTTATTTTGAATGTTTTTTTTAAATTAAATATTTAGGAATTTATAAATATATTCTCAAATAAAAATCTTTGCCCTCGGCGGGATTCGAACGCGTGACCAATTTAAGGTTTTTAATGCCTTAACGACTACGACCAACATGCGTTCTGTTCTTTTAGAAATTTAAATATTTATTTATTTAAAATTATGTTAAAGAAAATAAAGAAATTCTTTATTTATTAATTAATGTTTTTATTGTTTAATTCGCTAATTTTCAAAAAAATTTCGAAAAAATCAATTACTTAACAAAGTTTTATGCAATTTATTTTTCACAATAATTCAATTACTTTCACTAATAAAAACACTTTTCATGGAAATTCAATTTTTTAAAAAAATTTTTGATTAAATTCTAAGCATTAATTTAATTATTTTCATAAATAATAAAACTCATCGAAGAATTTTAATTATTTTTATTACTATTTAAAATTAATAATCGAAAAATTCAGTTATTTTCACAAATAAAGTTTTCCACAAGAATTCAATTATTTAAACTAATAAAATTTTCATAATATTTATTATATTTCGGAAAAATTAAAAATTAATTTAATTAATTTTTTTATTTAAAACAATGTTCATAAAATTCTTATATAGAATTCAATTACTTAAAAAAATAATAAAATTTTTCACAGAAATTCAATTCTTTTTAAATATTTTAATAAACTTTTCCGCAATAATTCAATTATTTTCAAAAATAATAAAATTCTTCTCTGTAATTCAATTATTTTTGAGAATTATAATAATAAAATTCCTAGCAACTATTTAATTATTTGTAATACAATTTTACAGGATTTGCTCAAAAAATGTAATTATTCTTAAAAACTTAATTTCAATTCCTCGAAAAAATCAATTATTTAAAAAAATTTGTTTTAAAATATTTTTTGGAAGGATTGAAAAATTATTTTCAAAAATTAAATAAAATTATTCGAAAGAAATTAATTGTTTTCATTGCAATTTTAATTAAATTTTTTTGAAATAATTCAATTATTTTTGAAATATTAATTAAATTTTTTCCAAGAATTCAATTATTTACACAAATAATTTTTCAAAAGAATTCAATTATAAATAAGAAAATTACTCCGAAAAAATTCAATTATTTTGAGGTATTTTAATAAAATTCTTTTCAAAATTCAATTATTTTCATAAATAACAATATATTCATCACAATAATTCAATTATTTTTAAAAGTAATAAATTTCTTCTTGGAAATTCCATTATTTTCAAAATTCTAATAAATCGTTTAAAAGAATTCAATTATTTTCATAAATAATAAAATGTTTTTTAGGAATTCAATTATTTTCAAAAAAATTTAATAAAATTTCCCACAGACATTCAATTATTGACAAATTTTTTAATAGAATCCTTTGTAAAATTTAATTTTCTTCAAAAATTTTTTGCAATTCAATGATTTTCAATATCTACTATTTTTATAAAATTCCCAAACAGAATTCAATTATTTAAAAAATGATTTGCAAAAATTTTCGTAAGAATTCAATTCTTTTCATGAATAATAAAAATTTCCATCAATTCAATTATTTAAATTAGAATTTGCATAAAATTATTCGAAAGAAATGAATTATTTAAAATTTTTATAAAATTCTTCGCAAGAATTAAATTATTTTTTATAAATATATTTTAAATTCTTTCATGAATAATAAAATTCGTAGCAGGAATTCAATTTATTAGCAGAATAAGAAAAAAGTAAATATTTTTGATGAAAATTAGGAAAAAGTCAGGAAAATAAAAAATATGAAATGGAATTTTTGTTTATTTTGTGAAGTGAATAAAACGATTTTTTTTTGGTTTTTTTTTGACATTAAAAAAAATGAGAATAACCGACAAAAATTAATTTTCAAAAAAAGAAATGAATGAATGCAGAGAATTTGCTAACGGAAAGGATACTTACGATTATTATAAAGTATATATTAGTGGAGAAAATTAATAGACTTTAAATATTATCCTGATTGAAAATTTAATGGTTAAATAAAAAAAATTCAAAGAAATTTAATTTAATTGGAACAAATGAAAATTTACAAAAGGGACAATTATTTTGTTTAAAATATCTTTAATTAAATTATACATACCAGGGCTCAAAAGTAATTTTGTAACATGCAAAACGTTAATTAGTAATTGAAACCATAAGAGTATAAACGTATAAAGTTAATTAAAAGCAAAGAGAAATTAATTTAGCAAAGCTTACTTAAAATTTGAATCTGCGGAAGCCAATGATATGTTTTAACATTTGCGGGAAGTCCTGGTGGTAGTTCCTCTTTTTTTGCAATTTTCATTAAAACACGAACTGGTGAAATTTTTTTAAATGAAGAATAAAAAATGTCGAGTGTTTTTTTTGGAAATGTCTCTAATCTCACCATTGAGCCAAACGATACGTAAATAAATCCATGTTTAGCTTCATCCAACCATTTTTGCAATTCCTGTAAATAAAAGGAAAAAAAATGTAGTGGAGAGAGAAAAAAAAACAATTTTTATTCACCAGTAGGAAAAAAATACTAGATTTTTTTCTATTATACTTTATTTGTCTTTCTCTCTCTTTCTCTCTCTCTAAGGGAGAATTTTTCAAGTTTATAAATGAAGATGGATTAAAAACTTCTCTTTTTTTAGTTTGTGATTTAAAAGTCTCTGAAAGAAGAAATTTTTCTCTATTTGTTGGTGGAAAAGTTTAGTTATCTGATTTTTTTTCTCTCTAATAGTTTGAGAGCTGCAGTCGATTTCCGATTCATGAGAGATTTATTATTTGAAAAACTTTTTTTGTCGGTGATTAAACATTAAATTTTCGAATGAATAAATTCTTTTTTTCGAGGTATTATCATAGGTAAAAATTTCCTTCAATCGACCATTTGGACTAAAATAATCAGTAAAAAAAAGTATCGTTTTTTTAATCTTTTAAAAAATAGTATAAAAAATACACTAACTGGCAAAAGTTTTTCCTCATTATCTTGAACGTGAACGCCGCCAATTTCAATAACACCCGGAGTAAATGGTCGTATTCCATTCAAACTATAATGAGAATTAACTAGAATCAATGACATTTCTCTGGTGAGATCGTATATCGATGGATAACCACTGCCAATGTATTTGTCAACAAATAATTTTTGACTCTCCACTTGTCGATTGAAATCGTTGGTCATCATTTTTGAGAAAATTGTATTTTGCAGGCGTTCTGAAAATGTCATTTTTGTTGAAAAACCCGTCATTCCTCCGGGCACAAATGCAAGACTGTGTGGATTTCCAGCTGCATCATTGTGCCATTCGAGTAAAACAGATGCAGTTACTCCGATAATTGGTACATTTAGTAATCTTCCAAATGCCATGAAACAGTAGGCTGTAAAATACTTTAAAGCAAAATTATCGATTTTTACATTTGTAACGATTTTTCTTTTTTTCTAAATCTTCGTAATAAAATTCACTATCGATCTCTCGAGCCCGATTTTTGAATTTTTGTTTTTAAAACTCTTTTTTAATAACAATAAGTATTAAAAAAATCGTAAAAAATATTTTTTTAAAGCTTCATTAATGAAGAAAATAAAATCAAAAAACCTATTAAAATAATGTTTATGTGTTTTTGATTTATGAAAAAGTATAACAATTTATTAAATTGTTTAAACAATTAATTGTTATTATTTTTTTATAAACTTAGGGCTAGAAATTACTATAGTTTCTTCTCAATTGTGCATTTTTTATTAGTAAATATCTACTAATGATAAAAGATTAAAAATGATTTATTTAGAAATTATTTAAACATTGTTTAAAAAATTTATTCTGTTAATTTTTCAATTTACTGTACTTAAAACTATAAATTCCTAGTTTTTTCTAAATTTTGCAATTTTTTATAACCTTAACACTTAAGTATAATAGAAAATTTGAAAATTTATTATTTAACAATTCTTTAAACAATTTATAGTTTTTAATTTTTCAATTGTTTTTCAATTGTTTGTTTTATCATCAGTAGATATTTAACTCATGAAAAATTGCACAATTGAGAAAAACTAGAAATTTCTAACCCTACATACAATTTATGAAAAAAATAACAATTAATTGTTTAAACAATTTAATATTATTAATAATTTTTTATTTTTTATCATTAGTAGATATTTTTCTCCTAAAAAATTGTACTTATTGAGAAAAAACGAGAAATTTCTAGTCCTCAGTACAGTTTGTGAAAGAAATAACAATAATTAATTTTTTAAACAATGTTAATTAATTAATTTTTTTATTTTTTATCATTAGTAGATGTTTTACTCATGTTAAATTGCACTATTAAGAAAAAACTAAAAATTTATAGCCCTAATTATAATATTGTTGAAAAATTAAAAAAAAAATAATTGTTTAAACAATGTTTAATTAATTAATTTTTATTTTTGTATCATTAGTAGATGTTTTACTCATGAAAAATTGCACAATTTAAAAAAAAACTAGAAATTTTTAGCCCTAATAAAAATAATTAATTGTTTAAACAATTTAATAAATTGATATACTTTTTTTTATAAATCAGGAACACATAAACATTATATTTATAGATTTTTTGATTAATTTTCTTAATTAATGAAGCTTTAAAAAAATATTTTTTACGATTTTATGATTTTTTAAAAATATTTATTGTTATTAAAAAAAAGTTTTAAAAACAAAAATTCAAAAATCGGGCTTGAGAGATCGATAGAGAATTTTATTACGAAGATTTAGAAAAAATGTATAAAATAAAATATAGATTCACAATTTTTCTGCAGATATCAAATTGAGACAAAAGAACGAATCAAAATGTTGCTTTGCAACACTTTTGATTCGTTTTTTTGTCTCAATTTGATATCTGCAGAAAAATTTGTATTTGATTTGAATACAATAAGAGAAAAATATTATTAATTGAAAGAATAAATTAAAATTAATTAAAGTAAAAGTTAGTTAATAAAAAATTACCTCTACAATGACGAGATCGTATGGGGGATCTTTTGGTGGATTTTTGATAATATTTTGAAACGTATTGTGATGGAGTAGATTACAAACAGGATCACCTGTCATGTCCAGTAGTTGTTTTATTGAATTTATTGAAACTGTTTTTACCATTGAGTAATTTAAATTATTCGTTATTACTTCGGCCGAGCCTTGTAAACTCAAATCATTGTAATTTGGAAATTTGTTCTTCATTGGAAAATGTGATATAACATCAACATTGTGCCCCTTTTTTGCGAGTACTTTCATTATTTGCTCGCCTAAAATTGCATGACTTTTGCCAGGCAATGGGAATATTCCCAATATTCGTGCGCCCTCATTTATTTCACTCTGCGTTGCAATAACAATTGCAAAAATTAACAAAACACGTGTAGAAGTCATTTTTGTTTGTTTTTGTTGCACCTTGGTGATTTTTTCAGTTTTTTTTCACTTTTGGAGTATTTTTTTCGTATTTCTTTGTATTTTTCTTATTTGTTTTTTTTAATATTGTGACACTAATTAATATTGCTGTTAAATTGTTTGTTTATTATTATTACTAAAATAATAATAATAATAATAATAATAATAATAATAATAATAATAATAATAATAATAATAATAATAATAATAATAATAATAATAATAATAATAATAATAATAATAATAATAATAATAATAATAATTATTATTATTATTATTATTATTATTATTATTATTATTATTATTATTATTAAAACAATAATAATAAAAATATTATTATTCTATTTTATTAAGGGCATTTGAACCATTATGACGTCATAGGTTCTGCAAAGCATGTGTTTTAAGGCTGTGACGTCATCATGGTTCAAATGCCCTTAAAAAAAAAAAAATTTTGTTTTTTTATTTTTCTATTATTATTCTACTATTATTAACTGTTACTATTTCAGTTGCATTAATTATGTTTTTTTAATCAATGTCTTGTTCATTGATTACTCAACATTTGGTTATTAAGCTTCTATTAATTATATAATGTAATCTTTCATTAATAAATTATTGAACACTTCTAAATTAAGATTTTGGTAATTAACAAAAAAGTTATAATTATTGCTACTTATGGATGTATTATTTAACATTTGTTATTTAAGGGGAGGGTGCATCTATATTTTTAACTATATTAGAGAAATAATTTAAATATTCAACAAAATTATTTTTGAAGTAATTTTTTGTGAGGAATTCAATGGTCATAAAATAAAATCGGTCAGAAAATATTTTTTTAACCCTTTTTGAATTTTTATTTTTCTTTAAAATTAGTGAATTTTGAAATCCATATTTAATTTTGTAGAAAATATGCTTTTAAATTCACAAAAAATTTCCAAATCAAAAAATTGATTATCATAATTTTTATAGCATTTTTTTGAAATAAATCTCTGTTTTTTTGGGCTGAAAATGCTAAAAAATAGAATTATTCTTCATTTTTTTAAAATGAAAATTCATTTGTTTATTTTTCTAACTAATTTCAGATCACAATTTTATCCTAATTTTTTTTGTATCTTTATTTTTTATATATATAAAAATTATGATTTGAAATTAGTTAGAAAAATGAATTTTCATTTAAAAAAATGAAGATTAATTGTATTTTTTATTTCAGCCTTAAAAACGAGATTTATTTTTAAAAAATACTATAAAAATTATGAAAATCAATTTTTTTATTTGGAAATTTTTTTCTGGATTCAAAAACATATTTTCTACAAAATTACGTATGGATTTCAAAATTCACCAATTTTTAAGAAAAATAAAAATTCAAAAAGGGTAAAAATATTTTATGACCATTGAATTCCTCACAAAAAATTACTTTAAAAATAATTTTGTTGAATATTTAAATTATTTCTTTAATATAGTTCAAAATATAGGTGTACTCTCCCCTTAAGCTTCGGATAGTTATTTAATTTTATCTTTTTATTAATGAATTATTGAACACACTTCTAAATTAAGCTTTTGTTAATTAATTATATAACTTTTTGTTAATTAACAAAAAAGTTATAATTATTGTTACTTATAAAATATTAAAGTATTATTTAACATTTGGGGTATCCAACATTTGTTATTTAAGCTTCTGCGATAATTATTTTATCAGAATTATTAGTAATAATAATTTATAAATAAATGAATTAACACTTTGATTATTTAACTAAATAATTATTTAACTAAATTATAATATTAAGCTTTTGTTAATTAATTATACTTAACTTTTTGCTAATTAACAAAAATGTAATAATTATTGTTACTTAAGGCTGTATTATTTAACATTTGTTATTTAAGTTTCTTCTGATAATTATTTAATTAATTATAATAATTATTTATTTAAGCTTTTGTTAATTAATTACTTAACTTTTTGCTAATACTAACCAAAAAGTTATAATTATTGTTACTTAAGGCTGTATTATTTAACATTTGTTATTTAAGCTTCTGATAATTATTTAATTTTACCTTTTATTAAGGAATTATTTAACACTTCTAAATTTAGCTTTTGTTAATTAGTTAACTCTTTGCTAAATTAATGTACATTATTTCTTGTAAACTATTTTTTTTACTTTATTTTTTATTTCACTGACTATATTAATTCTCACACTATTTTTTTTATTTTTGAATTTAAGTAATTATATTAACACTATTTTTTATTGTTTATTTATTTACCTTATTTTATTTATTGGATTCATATATTAAATATTTATTTACATTTGTTTGCATTTATTTAGTAAAAATTTTCATAAAAAATTAGAACGTCTTGGATTTGTTTTCTGATTGGAATACACACGAACTTATTTATAAAATTGTTTTATTTATTCCTGGAAAATGTGCAAAATGTTATTATAATAGTTGTTGTTGTTGGTGAAACTATTTTGTAAAAGAGATAAAAATTTAAAAATAAATATTGTAGAAATTGAGTAGAAAAGGAAAATGGTAAATATATTTTGTGAAATATTATAGTTTTTGGTGTATAGTTTTTGTTTGAGTGAAAAATGAGGCCTTGCAGAAACTGTAGTGCAGTTGAATGATTAAAATGATCACATCACTTATAGACCTGTCGTAGGAAACTGAACAGAGTATATTTTTAAAAGGAATATGTAGAGAAAGAGTGGAAGGAGAATCTCGTTTGGTGGGAGCATCCAACTTAAATTATTTCTTACGTAAAGTTTCGCGAAAATAACGTAAGTTTTTCCTTTTTTCATTTTTGATCTTTTATTTTTATTTTTTTCCTTTTGAAAATATTTTTTTTTCTTTTTTCTACTCTAAATTTAATTATTTGTTTATTTTTTGCAAAATAGTTTTTTATTTACTTTTTTTTTTTTTTTTTTTTTTTTTCTTCGATTTTAATTCAAGTGCATTGAATGCAATTCGATATTATTTATCTTATCTTTTGTGCAACATAGTTTTCTATATTAAATATACAAATAAAAATAAAAATAGTGATAATACCACACGTAAAATGCACAAGTCATTCTTTTATATATATAATTTCCGATAAAATATGCATTTTTATAATCATCACTCTAATAATTATTTTGTTTTTTATGCTCTAATCGCTAGATACCGGTTATATTTAAACAAAGAATTGCAAATTTTAAAATGTGTAATTTTCTTTATTCTCTCAATATTATTCTAAAACAGTTATTTTTGTTTCTTTGGCATGATTTTTGCATTATCGAATTTCTTCGCTCGATAAATGAGTATAGTGAGCTTTCGACTAATTAAGAAAAAGATATAAATTAAGAGTAATGAACTAAACAAGAGAAAAGCATAAACGTCCAAAAGTTCAACCTGATACCAGGACAAATTTACAGCAGGTGATCGTAAAATATTTCCATGTCGTAAAACATAGTGTACCCAAAAAATTACACTATCCTGTGAACTTATTGGTCGATCGTAATAAAGTCTTAAAAAATTTGCAATATTTTTCCTGGTGAAAAAAAAATATTTTCTAATAACAATGTAGCAAATATTTTTACATGTAAATATTTATTTTTTATTAGATAATTTTCAACGCGAAAAAAACGAATGAAGTGTAACTTTTACAATTTTTAAAGTAGAACTCACACCGACAGAAACTTGTGAGTATATTTTTTGCAATTTTTACTATTTTCAAGTGAAAGTTGTACATTTTTGTAAAAATTAGTTCGAGTGTAGCAAAATTCGCTTTGAAAATAATAAAAGTTGCAACAAATATTCGCAGAAGTTACAGATATTTTTGGTTTTACTGAAGTAAATAGTATAAATTACTCTACATTTTTTTCAGTTTACAGGCTTCACAGTCTGTCCCCTATTTCCCTAAAATTCCCCTTTTTTAAATTTTGGCCACTAAACGTACCCTATTTTGAAAATTTCCCCTATTTTTTTCGTCACAGAAAATCAACAAAATTTAATTATTTTGATAAATATCAAAATTCTTCTCAAGAATTCAATTATTGTCAAAAATTTTAATTAAATTTTTGGCAAAATTTAAATTATTTAAACAAAATTTAATAAAATACTTTGCACGAATTCAATTATTTTTATAAATTTTAATGAATATCTCGTCAAGAATTCAATTATTTTTATAAACAGCAAAATTTTTCGTCCAAAATTCAATTATTTTTAAAAATTGAAATAAAATTCTTTGCAAAATTTCAATTATTTTCAAAAGTTTTTCGCAATTCGATGTATTTAAATATTTACTATTTTCATAAAATTTATAAACAGATTTAATTATAGAAAAAACTTGTTGATACAATTCAACGAAGAGATTCAATTAATTGCATAAATAATAAAATTTCATTTACGAATTCAATTATTTTCATCGCAGAATTTCAAATATTTTTAATACAATTTTAAATAAATTCCTTGAAAAATGCAATTGTTATTAAATTTTTTTTTTTAAACTTGAGGAAAGAATTCAATTTTAAGAAACATTCAATTATTCAATAGAACAATAAAATTCATTGCAATAATTCAAATATTTTCATAAATAACATTTAATTCGTCGCAGAAAATCAATTATTTTCAAAAATTTTTAAGTAATTTTGCAAAGGAATTCAAGTAGCTTGATAAACAACAAAATCACATAAATTCTTCCCATAAAATCAATTATTCTATGGAATTTTAATAAAATTCTTCTCCAACATTCAATTATTTTGATAAATATCAATATTCATCACAAAAATTCAATTCTTTTGAAAAATAATAAAATACTTTGCAGAAATTAAATTATTTTCAAAATTTTTTAAAAATTCTCGTCAAGAATTAAATTATCTTTATAAATAAATAGGGAAATTCATCTTAAGAATTAAGGTATTGTCAAAATTTTTTTAAAAATTCTCAGGAATTCAATTATTTTTCAAAAATTTAATAAAATTCTTCAAAAAGTTTTCAATTATTTTTAAAAAAATGTTATGAAATTCTTTAATATAATAAATTTCATTAAAATTTTAATTAAATTCATTAAAAGAAATTAAATATTTTCAAAAGTTGCTAATACAATTTTTCGTAAAAATAAAATTTGAAGAAACATTCAATATTATTTATTTTTGTATTTAAATAATTGATTTCTCGTAGAATGAAATTATTGTTTTTCGTACTTTTAACTAACAATTCTGTAGAATTAATTTTTTTGAAAAATTTTAATTAAATAATAATTGATGTTATTGATTTAAAGTAAAATTTTAGTTAAAAATTCTAGAAAATGTTAATTGAATTGAAATGATACAAATAATTTTGAAAAAATTACAGTAACAATATTCTTATAATAATAAAATAATGATTTTGTCAGTCGGTCATCTCAAATTATTATAAAACATAAAGAAATGGATCACTTCGAGTCTTCGACTCGAAGTGATCCATTTCTTTATGTTTTATAATAATAATATTCTTATCAGTTGTTCAATTTGAAAAGGTCTGAATTTGAAATTTCCAATGAAAAAAAAAAAATGATTAAATATTTATTTTAAATATAACTATTGATATTTTCGAATAATTTTATTTCCCCTAAAATACTTTTTAGTGGCACTGTGAAGCCTGCGTATAAGAAAATAATTTAATAATTTTTGCAGTTTTTCTGCAGATATCAAATTGAGAGAAAAAACAAATCTCTCAATTTAATATCTGCAGAAAAACTGTGATTATTTTGAAATTTTATATTCTTACCTGTAGGAGGAATTTTTTAGAACTGTATTCAAAGCCTCGGTAAAATCATTTTCCTTAAATCTGTCATAATTTAGGGAAATTGCAAATTTTTTTTCCTCACAAACTTTGAGATTGTAATATTGATCTCCAAACAGTGGGAAACCAATAATTGGAACTTTCGAGTAAATTGATTCTAATATTCCAAGTAGTCCACCGTGAGTTACAAATGCTTTCACGTTTTTGTGTTCTTGAAAAATCGATTAAATTATATTTGGTATTAATTTTTGTCTTTGCGCATAGAAAACAAATTTTTTGTTTATTTCGACGGCTCCCGTTGATATGATCTTGTTTCAATTGTCAAAATAATAAAATCGTCTTTGGAGCTCAGTTCAATATGATCTCTATTCAATTGTCAATTTAATATAATCTCGCAAAAGTTTCCGTGTAATAAAATCTTAATTCAGAGTAATTTTAAATTCACTTAAAAAATAAAATATTAATTCGTTTTTAATATTATTTTAGGTTTTATAATGATTAAATAATTATTAATAAAATAAAATATAGAAAAATAAAAGAAGAAAATTATTAAAATTATTAAAAATATTAAAAATATCAGAAAAATAATAAATTAATAACTATAAAATATTAATTCGTTTGTAATATTATTTCATACACTTCAATAATTAATTTAATAATTAATTAAATGGAAAAATAAATAATAAAATTATACAAATCTAAATAATAATAAAAATACAAAACTAACTAATTTTAATTAATAAAATTCATTATTCATTAAAAAGTATGAAATAATATTGCAAAAAATAATAAAATTAATTAATTAAAAAAAAAAAATTAACAAAGTATAATAAAATGGGTATTATCTGGGTGATTCTTCTGAAAGTGCTACTTTTGAAGTTCGATTTTTTAACTTATTTTTTTTTTAAATAATATGGTTTTTTCTATTGAACTTACTTTATTTCGTACTCAGGAGTAAGAATTCAAGTTGCGCAAAATTAATTGTTCAAAATATTAAAGTTTTTCTTCTTTTAAAAGATTGTCTTTGCGTTGCATCAATTGATTGGTTATATTTGTTTCGCGTTAGATTTTTTTATTAAATATATACACTAATATCATCCACTTAATTCATAATACAATTACACTGTTTAAAAAATAATAATCTGCATATTTTAATAATAAATATATATATTAATTTGATAGTTATTTAGGTTAATATTTTCAATTTAATGCAGGTAAATACTAAAAACAAAAGAAAAATTTGCCCATTTCAAGGAAAAGGCTTTGGAGATGAAAGCTTCGGAGATGAAAAATAAATTTTTTTCACATTTATTCACATTAGGGCGGAATTAAAATATATTTTTTTAATAAAATATACAAATTTCACAACGCAATTTTATATTATAGTAAAAAATATTTCGTCAAAGTTATTCGTATATTCAATTATTTAATAAAGAGCAAGGCTTCGGAGATGAAATTGAATTTTTGCTCGGGACAATAAGTAAAATTTGACTATTTATAGAAGGAATAATTCCTCTCCTTTTCACAAATAATATATGGGCAAATTAAACATCAGATTCTCAACTTTATTAAATTATGCATTAAAATTTTATTAAGAATACTTTTAATGTACAAAAATATCATTAATCATCGTGAGGTAATTTTAACCTAAAACCGAAGACAAAGTTTTAATATTTTTATCATATATAAAACAGAGGTCTTAAAATTAAAAAAAAAAACGTTATGACAGAAAAACATTGTACTTTCTGACAATATTTTCAAAAAAATTTCTAACAGTTGGAAAAAAGCATAGAAATTTAGTTTTCTTATAGAAGTCCTATTGGAGACATGCAAAAAAGGCTTCGGAGATGAAATTATTTTAGCTCTTGTATAAATTCAGTAGAATAAAATTGTTTAATTTCTTTTTTTTAATGAAAAGTAAGTCCTAAATTTTTATTATGAAAATAATTAACAATTATTAGTGAGTAGATTTTATAAAATTAATCGAGACATCAAAAATGTCACTTTCAGAAGAATCACCCATCTATAATATTTAAAAAATATATTTAGAATTATATTAGGTACACTACATTTTTCAACTGAAATTCTTTTTTAGGTATAATGTAGGTAATATAAATAATAAAAAATAAATATTTTTATAAATAGAATAATTAACTTACAATAATAGTAAAATTAATAAAATAAATCAAAGAAATTTAAAATAATAATTATTAACAAAATAAAATATAATTAAAACGAAATGAAATTTTACTTAATTTAAGTTTATTTAGTATTTTTATTATTAATTAGTTTCGTATAATTTTATTTTTTTTCTAATTTTTATTTCGTATATTAATTGTTAAAAATTAATTTATTTATATCGTTTTTTATTTATTTTATAATTTTCTTCATTTATTTTTCTATATTTTATTTTATTAATAATTATTTAATCATTATAAAACCTAAAATAATATTAAAAACGAATTAATATTTTATTTTTTAAGTGAATTTAAAATTACTCTGAATTAAGATTTTATTACACGGAAACTTTTGCGAGATTATATTAAATTGACAATTGAATAGAGATCATATTGAACTGAGCTCCAAAGACGATTTTATTATTTTGACAATTGAAACAAGATCATATCAACGGGAGCCGTCGATTTATTTATTTTTTGGTTTATGTCTGTTTTTTTTATTTATATCTGTTATTTTTTTGGTTTATGTCTGTAATTTTTGGTTTGCATCTGTTATTTTTTGGTTTAGGTCTGCTATTTTTTGTTTACATCTGCAATTTTTTTGTTTATGTCTGTTTTCTGTTTACATCTGTTATTTTTTAGTTTAAGTCTGCTTTTTTGTTTACATCTGTTATTTTTTGGTTTATGTCTGTTTTTTGTTTACATCTGTTATTTTTTGGTTTATGTCTGTTTTTTGTTTAGATCTGCAATTTTTTTGGTTTATGTCTGTTATTTCTTGTTGACATCTGTTATTTCTTGTTTACATCTGTTATTTTTTGTTCATATCTGTTATTTTTTAGTTTGTCTGTTATTTTTCTGTTTGTTTAGCCATTTTTGTTATAAAATATTACAACTTGTCATAAAAGCGATGCAATAAAAAATTCCATTTGTTTGAGATATTCAACGTTAGAATATGCATAGATTTTTTTTTTTGGATGTACTTACTCAGAATTTGAATTTGAGGGAACCAGGAATTAGTTTTGACATTGTTGGGAAGACCGGATGGTAATTTTTTCTCATTTCCAACTTTTAGTAAAATTCGAACCGGTGCAATTTTTCTAAAAGCCACATAAAATGCATTTAATGTTTCGTTGGGAAATGTTTCTATATTCACCATAGAGCCAAATGACATATAAACGCATCCATCTTTACTGCCATCCAACCATTCTTGAAGATCCTAAATTTTTTTCAAATTAATATATTTTTTAACTTAAAAATATTTTATATTTATAAATATGTTATTGATGGTGAAATAGCGTTAAAAAATATTTATAATTTGTAAAGCTGAAACTGTCATCAATTTAATTTTTCAAATTTTAAAGTTAAATATTTTTTTATTTAAAACGAACAAAAAATTTTGAAAAATTAAGTGGGTGTAAGTTTCAATTTCATAAATAAATTCTCAATGGCAATACTAACCGGTGACAATTTTTCTTCATTGTCTTGAATGTGAACTCCTCCAATTTCAATAATACTTGGTGTTAGTGGTCTTATTCCATTTAAAGTGTAATGAGAGTTTACAAATACAAGAGAAAATTGGGTGGAGAGATTTCGAATGGATGGAAATCCGGGTCCAAAATATTGATCGATAAATTTTTCTTGATCAGCAGTGTAATAGTGAAATTGTTGTTTTATTAAATTACCCATTAGTGTATTTAAAAGACGTTGGGGAAAATTCATTTTTCCTCCTAAACTTAGTCCTGTAAATCCCCCTGGAACGAATGAAAAACTATCGGGATTTCCCAACAATTCATTTTGCCACTCTTGTATCACTGACGTTATTAATCCTATCATGGGAACTTTTAAATGTCGAGCAAATGCAAAGTAACATGGAGCTGTAAATATCTTTAAAAATAAAAACAAAGGAACAGTTTTAGAATTTTGTTTTTTAATTCTTATTGCTACTTTATTTCTTGTTTTTTTATTTTTTATTGTTATTTTATTTTTTGTTCTTTATTTCTTATTCTTATTCTATTTCTTGTTGTTTATTTTTTATTGTTTATTTATTTTTAGAAAAATTTTAAACTAGAATCGTAATTTTAAAAGAAATATTGTCTTAGACGCTTTTTATTATTTGAAATTTTGGCAAAAATTGAAACAGTCTGACTGGATTTCATTTATTTGCTTCACAAATATTAATGTAAAAAAATATGAAGAATAATGACTACAAGCAAAAGTATTCTTTTATATTCTATCTGACATAACTTCTTCTATGTTATATTGAAATTATTACGCTAACAACAGATGAAATTGTAGTCAAATATGCTGTCTCATTTTGCAGAATATTATTCAAGAGAATGACGTGATCAAATTATGCTTATAAAATGAAAACAATTTTTTTTTTGTTTTTGCATTAGAAAAAATGTCTCTTTGTCAAAAAGTGTAACAAAATTTAGATTGTACTTTTTTATTGGATTTTTGTTTCAAAGAAACATTTTTTTAAAGGAAGAAAATTCGGTTACAATTGCTTGAAAGAAAACAAAAACTTTTATTTAAAAAATGCAAATATTTTTTTGAGTCTACTATTAATTTCTTTTTTTCAATTAATTAACTAATTACAGAATTTTGAAAAATTTTATTGAAAAAATATTTTTTTTGTTTATTTTTACATTTATGGTTAAAAAATTAAACTAAATAATTTTATGAAAAATATTTTATTAAATTATTTATTTATTACTTTAATCTTAATTTAGTATTTTTAATTAAATACTTTTTTTTAATTTAATAATTTTTAATTCAATATTTTTTTCATTTTTTTTATATTTGAAATACATTTAAAGAAAAAAAAAAACAAAAAACAATGCGAAGAGATGAGAAATTATTTTAATAATTTTTAATTAAATATTTTTAAATTTAAGAAAAAATTCGTCTGCGACAACGACAAGTTTTTCTATAGAATAACCAAAGTCTTAACAGCAAGAACTAAAAATTTTGCTAATTTAGTAATATTTTTAGCAATTTCAGGAAACAAAAAATTTTTTTTCATCATTTTAATTATTAAAAAGTATAAAATTATTATTAATATTACCTCGACAATAACGAGATCATATGGCGGATTTTTTGGTGGATTTTGAATGATACTTCTCAATATTGGATGTTGAATTAATTTACAAATATTATTTCCGGTTGTATTTGCAATTTCGGGAACAAGTGAAATTGGCGATAAAAATTCAAGTCTATCATAGCTCATATTATTCGTTTCATCCTTTATCGATCCTTGTAAACTAAGATCTCGATAGTTGAGAACCGGTTCTTTTTGTGGAAAGTGACTCACAACGTCTACCTGATGGCCATTTTTTGCGAGAATTTTCATAATTTGCTCGCCCAAGATAAAATGACTTTTTGCATTCAATGGAAACAGTCCCAATATTCTTGCTCCATCGCAATTATTACTTTTTATAATGACACTTGTGATAATTGTCATAATTATTGACAAGCATAATGAGGCCATTATTTTTTATTATCAAAATAGAGTGATTTTAAATTGTTTGTTATTTTTTTTTTGAGTCTTTTTTATAGATGTTAACAAAAAAAAAATTGTATTTTATTTAAAAATGTTAAATTACAGTTAAATGTTGTTTGTCTCCTACTATTGTTATTTATTATTATTTATTAATTGTTCATTTATTTTTTATTACTGTTTTTAATTGCTATTTTTAATTACTATTTATTATTACTATTTATTATTGTTATTGTTTATTTTTTATTATTTATTTATTATAATTTATTTATTATTATTTATTAATTTATTATTGTAAATCTTATTGTTTAATCATAACTTTAATGTTATTACTATTCTTTTTTTGTCAATTTACTTATTTTTTCTTTAATTAAAAAAATAGTCTAAATTTTTAAATTAGAAACTAATTAACATTTTTTCAAATTGAAAAATGATTTACTTATTCTATTATATACGTGAAAAATATAGAAATAGCGAAACGAAGTATTTTTAATGAAATTTATCTCACTTTACTTGACCACTGTTAACTTTGATTGTCAAATTATGAATTAAAACTGAGCAATTAATATACGAGAAAAAAGAATCTACCCGAAAACACTGATTTCTTTAAAAATCTCTTGGACAAAGTCTACAATGATATAAGAAGTTTGGAAAATTGACTTGTTTCTAAATCGTTGTTTTTATTACTATAATAATTATAAAAATTGAAAAATTATAAAACAAAAGACAAAATTATAATTATTAGCGTAATAATTATAAAATGAAAATATTTTAAATATTTTAAAATATAAAATTTTAAATGAACTAAAATAAATTATTTTTTTTTATTATTATTATTATTACTATTACAATAAAATTAAATTGAGTTAACAATTTAAAAAATTAAAATAAACTAATTAATTGTAATAAAAAGCGTTGCCCGTGAATATTAATATAAATAATATGCAAATAAATTTCTTTAAATTAAATAAAATTTAAATTTTACATTTAAAAAAATTTTTAAATTTAAATCAAATTTTTACTTTCTGTTATTTATTTTAATCTTTATTGCTTCCAAATGGAAGCTTTATTATTTTACCGAATTTTAATTTTGTTTAATTTTGGTTATTTTCTTTTTTTGAGATATTGTACATTTTCTTCTCTTCTTCTCGAATTATTAATCATTTTAAAAAATAGTTTAATTATTGAAAATACTGTATAAATAAATAGTGATATCACAATTAATATTAAACAATAGATATCCAATAATTCGTTTTGATACCAATTCAAGTTTGTAGCTTGAGATCTTAAAATATTTCCATTTCGTAAAATATACTCAACCCAAAATAATGCCGTGTCCTCGGGACTCATGGGACGATCGAAATAATTTTTCGACAATTTTTCAATATTTTTTCTAAAATAAAACAATTTCTATTAATTATAATAATTAATTATATTAATTTTCGTTCAAGTTTCTTTGATTAATATTTCTTTGCTTCTGAATAAATTTTTCTTTTTCGTAAATAGAAAAAGAACAGGATTTTCTAAATAGGGTAACTGTACCAATTGTCGAGGGTTTTAGGCAACATGTGACTTTGACATTTTTTTTCTCGGAAGTAAATGCACTTTAAAATTTGATTTTTGTATATTTAGACGAAGGATCTAATAATGTTTAATATTCATATTTATTTTTTTAATATAAACTAAATTGTTAAGCAAAAAATATATTTAAAAGTCAATAGAGCAAAAGCACCATTTGTCGATGGTCTTGTGCTAATTTCTCGAGGGTCTGTTCCAATTGTCGAGGGTATGACATTTTTAAACATATAACCCAATATAACCTAACAATTAACCTGTACAGATATTAGAAAATCGAGTAGATATTTATTTTTTAGATAAAAATATTATAGAACATTACCAGAAAACAAATATATTTATTTAACTATAATTGAATAATTTATAATATCGATATAAAACATTTTTATAGTAGATGATACAGGACAGAAAATTATTTAACTGTTTTTTAAACTTTTATAAATATAAGTTAATTAAATTTAATCAATTTTGTTAATCAGACATTAATTGAAAAAATAAATTAATTTAAGTCACATTAAATTTGTAAACGAATAAAATAAACTTTTATTACGAACTGTAAATATAATGGTTAATTATAATTAAACTATAGTACAAAATTTTTTAGTTTTAAATAATGAATTTTTTTTCGGTCTTCCTCGTTTTTTTGGTTGATTATTTTCTGTTGGTTGTAAATTTTTGGAGCATTTTTTTTCTTTTTCTCTGTACCTATAAATGTTTGGCATTTATGTTTGACGTTTAGTAAATAAACACTTAACCATCGATAAATGGTGCATCAGCGAAAAAAGTGACTACACCAATTTTCGAGTCATTACCTCGAAAAATGGAACTGTCAAAAAAAAGGAACCAAATACCGATGATTTGCTTTTAAAAAATATTAAATATTTTTTTTTAACAAAAAAACATGCATACAAAATTAATTTAGTTCGTGTACAAAATTATAATAATAATTTTGTACACAAAAAGTCATTATAAATACGTTTAATTTGCATTTCTAAAAATCTGTTTTAATCAACCTGAAGTATTAAGAAAATGGAGATTCGTGTAAATTTCACAGCAGTGAATTATAATATTAATTAAATAATTATTTTAGTAGAATCGCTACGAAATTTGTATATATAAATATACAGTTGAAAATACAAAGATTATTTAGAAATTTTTTTTGTTCCTAAATATTATATATTATACTATTTATCTAAAAAAGAAAATTATTATCCTCGACAATTGGAGCACCCTCGGCAATTGGTGCAGTTACCCTATTTTTTATAAAAATAAAATCATAAAATAAAAATAAAAATAAAGTAAAAATACAAAATTAAAAAATAAAAATAAAGTAAAAATATAAATTTTTTCGAAAAATTATGTAAGAGAAATGACATTTTTCTTGATATTTTTCACCTGAATGAAGAATTTTTTAAAACCGCATTCAAAGCTTTGGTGAATTTTTCTGATGTAACACTCTCATGTTCGAGTAAAATAGCGATTTTCAATTCCTCATATTTTTTTATATTTTGAATTTGATCGTTGAAAAGTGGAAATCCAACCATTGGTACTGCAGCGTAAATTGACTCCAATGTTCCCATTAAACCGCCATGAGTCACGAAAGCTTTCACATTTTTATGCTCTAAAATATCAATCATACTTTTAGCCACTTTTTCTTTTGATAAAAATTTAATTTTTAATAGAGAAAATTGAAAAAAAATTTCCCATATAAAGATTGAATTTTATTCTTTTATTATATATTTTTTTTCATAGTTCGTTTCGTTTTCGATTCTATAATTTTTATTGAAATATTTTTAAATGCTCAGGTTTTATTTAAAAATATTTTTTAAATTATTTTTAAATTAAAATTAAAATTTTAATTTAATTATTAAAATTATTAAAAAGAATTAGTTATAATTTCCAAAAAAAATTATAAATTCAAAAGAGTTAAATATAACTTCAAGAGAATTAATTATAATTTTCTAAAAATTAATTAGAATTTAAAAAAAATAATTTTTGTTTTAAAAAAAGGTTTTTCTGTTACTTAAGACTTGAATTTGTGGTAGCCAATGATGAGTTTTGACATTTTTCGGAAGTCCTGGTGGTAATTCCACTTTATTGGCAATTTTCATTAAAACTCGAACGGGTGAAATATTTTCGAAAGTAATATAAAAAGTATTTAAAATTTCTTTCGGGAATGATTCAATTTTCACCATTGAGCCAAAACTCATATAAACACATCCATGATCACTTTCATCCAACCATTGCTGTAATTCCTGTGGAAAATTTTTTTTTATTAACGTTCAATTACTCGGACTATAAAAGCAATTAAATTTTAAACTTTTAGAAACAATTTTAATTTATAGTCGCTAAAAAAATCCATATTAACGAAGAGTAAAAGGAAATTTCTAATTTCTGAAAAATTATTCTTTCTATAGAAAAAATAATTTTAATTTAAATAATTTAATTTTTTCTGTATGGAAAAAAAAATTTTTCAGCAATTGGAAATTATTTTTTAATGAACAAAAAATAATAATAATTTTTTAATAAAAAGTAATTGGAAAAATAATTCTCAATTACTAAAAAATTGTTTGATATAGATACAAACTGGTATTAAATTATCTTGAGCATCATCATCGTCATTGACGTGAAGTCCTCCCACTTCGACAATGGCATGAGTCATTGGTTTCACTCCATTTAAACTATAATGTGAATTTATAAACACCAAATCAAATTCCCTTGAAAGTTCATAAATGCTGGGATACCCATCGCCAAAAGATTCATCAATGTATCGCTTTTGTTTCGTGGCATAATAATTGAACTGAAAATTAATTTCATTAAATAGAACAACGTTCATTAGTCGTTGCCAAAAATTCATTTTTGATGGTAAACCAGTGAATAGTCCTGGAACAAAAGCCAAATTTGTTGGATTTCCCATTGGCTCATTAATCCAATCGTATAAAGACGAAGTGGTGATTCCAATTATTGGGACGTTTAAATGTCGAGAAAAAGCAAAATAACACGGTGCGAAGAATATCTATATACAAAATATTTTTATTAGGTAAATAGAAAAAAACGAATTTTAATTCGTTTGGATATTAAAATTTTGAATTTCAAATCAATTAATTGAAATCTTCGAATTTTGACTCAATCAATTAAAACTTTTGAATTTTAATCAATTGATTAACATTTTTGAATTTTAACTCAATCAATTTAAGATTTTAAATTTAAAGTAAATCAACTAAAATTTTTAGAATTTTCACTCAATCAATTAAAACTTTTAAATTTTAATCAATTAATTAACATTTTTGAATTTTAACTCAATCAATTTAAGATTTTAAATTTAAACTAAATCAACTAAAATTTTTTAATTTTGACTCAATCAATTAAAACCTTTGAATTTTAATCAATTAATTAACATTTTTGAATTTTAACTTAA